TTGACACTACTATCCCAAAAATATGATCCATTAGTATAACAGTTTCCATTATGCCTCAGGTAGATACCTATAAAAACCTATACAGTTATTATTATACACATCCAGTGTCTTACCTGAGGAAGGTGGACATTGACTAATAACTTCACTGACACTCAACAAGAAGACTATAATCATTCCTGATACTGAAAATGCCATTTTAACAATGGACTGAATAGAACTATAGCTCTGTTACAGTTCTGTTATTTTTTGACAAACAATCTATGTTCGACAGTTTTCTTTTACATAAGTGAAGTGCATAAGATGTATACATTTCACTCATTAAAATTTGTTTACTGTTCTTTATTATGACAATTCAAAACAATAACATGATGTTTACTGAGACAAATGCATTATATCACTTAAACCATGAATGTTTTGTATCTCAGTGAATGCATGCATACACTTTCAGTTTACTGATATCAAAATAGTCTGGAAACCTACCCTAAGTTTCCAGACTATAGATCTACATCAGAATCATATTATAGATATGATCAGCATTATCATTAGCTTGTCAGTTTCTAATTTTATTTGCACCTGAAGAAAGTGTGAAAATAGCTAGAGTTGTCATTAGAGTTATGTCCTCATCATACTTCTATTATTGCATGGTTTATATGTTATACAGCAAAGTAAAATGAGTATTAATGAACCTCTATAATGAGGACACTTTTAAAATCAAGACAGTATTATTGGGTCCCAAGGTGTCAAGAATAGACAGGTTTGACTGTATTATTAGTACATGTAGCAGCTGTAAAAATTTGTAAAAATTTCAAGATATGCTTGGAATTAGGTCAAAATTGAAATGCAACATATTATACTCTTTCTCTTTAAATGTCAAAAAAATGAAGATAGGAGGATTGATCAGTACATGTAATTTGCTAAAATTAGATCTTGTGCCACGTCTACATTGTGACTATTAAATGCACTCATAAAGTTGTAATCTCTTTTTCACACAAACTATGTAAAAAAATTATTTGCTACACTAAACTAGTGAAAACGTTTTAACAGTTGCTCTAATACCTTTTATTGTGACATATGCTCATAAACATCATCAGGTGATGTTTGGCATTCATCATAAACTCCTTCATTCTCTTCACTTTGTTTAGTCTTGTGAATTGCATATGGTCCACATGCTTGCATTGAAATATCATCATCAGCTCTATTATCATAATTATTAATAAGTAACTTTACATAATTAAAATAAACTAACTTTGCTTGCTTATTGATGCATGAACTTTTCTTTCTATAGCAAAACCAATAACAGATTATTAACTAAGTATGTAAACTCTACCTTATAAAGCAGTAGATATGAACAATAACACTGACAGTTAATAGACCACACAATATACCCACCAACACACTAAGAGCAATAACACTATCTGATGCATCACTAGTTGATGGAATCACTGAAACTGCAGGAGTAGCAGTACAGACTGAAGTACAAGCTGTATGCATACATTGGGAGGAATACGTCATAGTAAAGTTAAAAAAAGAAAGTTGTGTTATAATACTAGATCTATCTACCTACTTATTGAACAATACCCAGTAGATGTAAATGAGATAGACATAGCTCTTGTAGTTAATGTAGAAGATGATGATTGATGAACAGATGATGTGAACAGCACTATATGCTAGTTTCACAGAACTGATATAGTATAATAATTACATACCTATTCCAATCTCTACTACAATAGGATCACTGAAGGGACCTCTTCCAACAGAATTGACAGCAGCTACACTGATGTTATACTCAGTACCAAATACTAGATCATTCAATATGATATACTGGTATCTCTCAGTACTGGTGAGGTTGTATGTGATACTACTGTTACTGATAATCACTGTATAGCCTGTGATTAGACCATTACGCTGAGAACAATTGACCTTATTCCAAGTGAATATATTAGCTGTAGAATTAACTGGTAATACTTGAATTGATGATGGCCAACCACTAGGAACTACAAATTAAAATTAATTAATTATTGAAAAAATAACTTAAAATAATGTTATTACTTATTGCTTTGGTTTGTACTGTGTTCATACTTAATTCAGATCCTCCTAGTACATTACCAGCTCTCACTGTGATGGTATAGTTCATACCACTGTACAGACCCATTAATGTATAACTGTATGTTGTAGTAGACTGATGAGGAGCAACAGAGACTGTCTCATTCACTGATGATAACTGGGGACAAGATGGAGTATAGGAGATGGTGTAGTATGTTACATAGTTGTCATTACTGGGAATAGTCCAGTTCACTGTAATACTAGTGGTTAAGACATTAGATACTGAGAGACTAGTTACTGGACTAGGAACTAGAACAGATATCAATTACACTCTCTCAATGATAATAACTCACCATCAAATCTTAACACTGTTACTGTACTATTAACTGAAGGAAGATTTATATATGAGTACACACTGATGGTATAGGTACTCATTGGTGAGAGATCTGTTAGTAAAATTTCATTTTCACTGGTAGATACTACATTCCTGGTTACACCTCCAGTAGTATACTCAATCACATATCCATTAGTCTCTGATGAATTGGTCCAGTTCACTTTGATACTATTAGCACTTAATATAAACCCTCTCACATTATTTGGAGGACCACTAGGAGCTAGAAAAGAGACAAAGGTATCTACTATTGATTAAAGTATAATCATACCATGTAATATCACAGATTGACTGTACTTGACTCCTCCAATCATTACTATACAGGTAACATTAACTGACACTCCCAGTGGATCAGGATATACCAGTAGTGTGTTTTTGTATGTCAGGACATCAATTGATGTATACATTGAGTTACTCTTCATCACTCCATTCACTAACCAGTAAACATCAGTTGAAGGATTTATATCAGTAGTTGTGAGACAATCAATACGATATTGAGTGTTATTGAGTTGTGTAATGGATGAGACTAGTGTCCAATTGATTGAATTAATAACTAGAAATACATCAACAATGTTAACAGTACATTAAAGGTGCAGTAACAATACCTGGTAAGGTCTGTACACTGATTGTACTAGCAGGTCCCAGTAATTGTTGATAGGCTCTGACTGTGATGCTATAAGTTGTTCCTCCTCTCAGCCCATTCAGTGTGATTGTATTATTACTACTTCCCTCCACCTGTACTGTCTGCACAGTGTCTGTGTCATTAGTGACATTGACTACATATCCATCAGCATCAGATGAATCAAGTGCAGTCCAACTGACAGTGATAGTGGTAGCTGTCTTGTTGACCTCAGTAAGAGAAGAGGGAGCAGTTGCTGGTACTAATATTATTTGTATCAAAATTATTAGCATTCATTGACATTACCTTTTATAGTTACATTACGTATTCTAATATGATTACTACCAGGATGATCTGCTACCCTGCACTGATACATTTGATTTCCAGTAGTTGATTGACTGATTGATCCACTACTGACAGTCATTCCATCCCATGTGATAGTAACTGTATATTTTATTGTGTTGGTACTACTAACTAACTGAGTACCGGGACAATTATTAATAACATCGTAACATCCAGTGTGATTAGCAAGTGCAATAGTACCAATGCTCATACTAATACCATAATTAGTGTGTCCAATTTTGATACAATTCAGTTTGTATTCCTGAGGATATACTGTCATATCAAAAGGAAGATCAGCAACAGTAAATGACTTTATTTCTGAATATCCTACAAATGAACATCATTACATCAGTAAGTGATTATAGTCTCCTCTTACTGAATATATTAGCAAAGATTATGTTAGTGTTAGAATCTGAACAATCAGTGGGTAGACAACACTTGTACCAGCCTTCTTGAGCTGCTGGTAGTCCCTGAGCACGATAAAGATTGATAGTAGCAGCAGGTGAAGTGACATTAGTACAACAAAAAGGATCACTGGCACTATTACTGTTACAGTCAACAGGATTATCAGGATCAGCAACTCTAACCCACTGACCAGTAGTTAGACTAGTACCAGGTAACACACATGATATATTCTCATTAACTGAATTGACACTACTATCCCAAAAATATGATCCATTAGTATAACAGTTTCCATTATGCCTCAGGTAGATACCTATAAAAACCTATACAGTTATTATTATACACATCCAGTGTCTTACCTGAGGAAGGTGGACATTGACTAATAACTTCACTGACACTCAACAAGAAGACTATAATCATTCCTGATACTGAAAATGCCATTTTAACAATGGACTGAATAGAATTATAGTTCTGTTACAGTTCTGTTATTTTTTGACAAACAATCTATATTCGACAGTTTTCTTTTACATAAGTGAAGTGCATAAGATGTATACATTTCACTCATTAAAATTTGTTTACTGTTCTTTATTATGACAATTCAAAACAATAACATGATGTTTACTGAGACAAGTGCATTATATCACTTAAACCATGAATGTTTTGTATCTCAGTGAATGCATGCATACACTTTCAGTTTACTGATATCAAAATAGTCTGGAAACCTACCCCTAAGTTTCCAGACTATAGATCTACATCAGAACCATATTATATATATGATCAGCATCATCATTAGCTTGTCAGTTTCTAGTTTCATTTGCACCTGAAGAAAGTGTGAAAATGGCTAGAGTTTTCATTAGAGTCAGACCATTGATATCCTCATCATACTTCTATTAATGCATGGTTTATATGTTATGGTCAAAAAATGAAGATAGGAGGATTGATCAGTACTTGTAATTTGCTAAAATCAGATCTTGTGCCACATCTACATTGTGACTATTAAATGCACTCATAAAGTTGTAATCTCTTTTTCACACAAACTATGTAAAAAAATTATTTGCTACACTAAACTAGTGAAAACGTTTTAACAGTTGCTCTAATACCTTTTATTGTGATATATGCTCATAAACATCATCAGGTGATGTTTGGCATTCATCATAAACTCCTTCATTCTCTTCACTTTGTTTAGTCTTGTGAATTGCATATGGTCCACATGCTTGCATTGAAATATCATCATCAGCTCTATTATTATAATTATTAATAAGTAACTTTACATAATTAAAATAAACTAACTTTGCTTGCTTATTGATGCATGAACTTTTCTTTCTATAGCAAAACCAATAACAGATTATTAACTAAGTATGTAAACTCTACCTTATAAAGTAGTAGATATGAACAATAACACTGACAGTTAATAGACCACACAATATACTCAC